TCGGTACCTGCAGCAGTGGTTTCAAGTCCTCTGTCCTTTCTTGCAGGTAAGTGCTAAATGTGTTTTTTATGGTTCTTTTAGCATACATTAGGCAGAGTAGGACCTGCCAGATATGGGGTACATTGGCGTTGTTGGCAGGCTTATGCAATGTATGATCATTTAATGTGACTAAATCCCCATGATTAATTTCATATATAGTACTTAGTTATTTCTCCTCTTGTTTTGTCTTTCATATCTTGTCTTGTTTTAGTTTGTATTCCCAGTCCATGTACAGTCATGTCCTGTCATGCCCATGTTATGTCTATGTTTCCCTAATGTATTGTGTACATGTTCTGGGTTTAGCCCCCTGTCCTTCTCTGGTTCTGTTTTATATTAGTTCTGTCTTGTTTTCATGTTTGGTGCCTTTCCTAGTTTTTCCTTGTTTCTGTACTGGATACATTCTTGCTGCAGAGCCTCCCTATTCAGCTCCTGGGAGGTCTGCTTATTTCCTAGCTCCTAGTTCCTGGGATGCGCATAAGCTGCATCAGGGTTCTGGTTTGTGGCTGCACAAACGCTGGTGCTCAACACTAGGGGGCGTGCGGTTACCCTGCCCTATCCACTTTCATGCTGAAGACCCCCACTTATCATCAGGCATACTGGGTCCCGGTCCTTGCACCGCCGCCCAGACAGTGTCTGGGTCCCAGGCACCGGACAGCCACCCTGAAAACATAAGGTCAAGTGAGCATTTGTTTAGTATCCACTTACGGCATACTTCAGGATTATTCTTTCCAATGGTGGGTACGTTTTTAATTCTGAAGGCTCTTGGAATTTTCTTCATTAATTATGTTATTATTTATATAGTTCCATCAAAATCCACAGCACTTTACAATGGGTGGACGAACAGACATGTAGTTGTAACCAGACAAGTTGGACACCCAGGAACAGAGGGGTTGAGGGCCCTGTTCAATGAGCTTGAGGGCCCTGTTCAATGAACATTCTAGAGGGAGTGGGGTAAAGTGGCACAAAAAGGTAAGGATAAATAGGTGGGAACAGCATTATGTAGAGATTTGAAAGCAAAAACCAGAATTTTAAATTGAGCCCTATATCTTACAGGAAGCCAATGTAGGGACTGACAGAAGGGTGAGGCGTGGGATGTGCGGGCAGTCAGGAAGATGAGCCTCACCGCCACATTCATTATGGACTGTAACGGCGCAAGTTGGGAGCACGTAAGACCACTGAGAAGCGGATTACAGTAGTCAAGGCGAGAAAGGACAGTGGAATGGACCAGCACCTTAGTCGCATCTGGCGTTAAGTAGGGCCGGATGCGCGCAATGTTTTTGAGATGGAAACAACAGGATTTGGTGATAGACTGAACATGAGGCTTGAAGGAGAGGTCGGAGTCAAAGAGAACACCTAGGCAGCGGGACTGCGTGGTGGAGCTGATGGTAGCACCATTGACTTGGGGGGAGACAGACAAAGGAGTAACAACACTTGAAGGAGGAAAGACCAGAATTTCAGTTTTGGTCAAGTTTAGTTTAAGGAAGTGGGCAGTCATCTAGTTAGAAATAGCAGAGAGGCAGTCAGAGACACTAGTCAAGAGGGACAGGGAGAGATCAGGAGAGGACAGGTAGATCTGCGTGTCATCCGCATAGAAATTATATTGGAAGCCAAAGAAGCTAATGAGTTTACCAGGGGAGGCAGTATAGATGGAGAACAGTAAGTAACCAAGGACTGAACCTTGGGGGACACCAACAGAGAGGAGTTGGGGAGAAGAAGCAGAGCCAGAGAAAGAAAAACTGAAAGAGCGCTGGGAGAGGTAGGAGGAGCACCAGGAGAGCGCAATATATTGTAGACCGATATTGCAGAGGATGAGAAGAAGCTGTTGATGATCAACAGTGTCAAAAGCTGCAGACAGGTCAAGGAGAATTAGGATAGAGTGGTGAGATTTTGCAACGAGTAGATCATTGGATACTTTAGTCAGTGCTGTTTCCACAGAGTGCTTAGCGCGGAAACCAGACTGAAGCGGGTCTAGCAGAGAGTTGGACTCGAGGAAGTCTGTCAATCTTGCATACACAATTCTTTCAAGGATCTTGGATGCAAAAGGCAGTAGCGAGATAGGACGGTAGTTGAATGCAGAGTTAGGGTCAAGGTTGGGCTTCTTTAGAATTGGGGTTACAGTTGCATGTTTGAAGGGTGATGGAAATAAACCAGAGGAGAGAGATTGAGAATTTTAGTGAGAGGTGGAGAAAGAGAAGAAGACAGAGTAGAGTTGAGATGCGAGTGAATTTGGATCTAGGGAGCAGCTGGTGGGGCGGGAGGACTGGAGCAGAGCAGAAACCTCTTCCAATGTAGTGGGTGCGAATGAACACGAGAGGGAGTGAAGTTAGGGGAAGTATTGTAAGGGGAAGAAGAAAGATGAGAGATCTCTTCCCTGATTGTAGAGATCTTGTCAGTGTCAGGGTGGCAGTCCGGTGCCCGGGACCCAGACACTGTCCGGGTGACGGTGCGAGGACCGGGACCCAGTATGCCTGATGTTTAGAGTAGGAGTCACAGTGTGGAGGCAGATTAGCAGGGTCTGGTGCTGGGTAACCGCACGCCCCCTGGTGTTGAGCACCAGCGTTTGTGCAGCCACATACCAGAACCCTGATTCAGCTTATGCGGATCCCAGGAACTTGGAGCATGGAAATAAGCAGACCTCCCAGGAGTTGAATAGGGAGGCTCTGCAGCAGGTTTGTATCCAGTACAGAAACAAGGCAAGACTAGAGACAGGCACCATACATGAAAACAAGACAAAACTAGGAGAACAGGGCAAGACTAGAGATAGGCACCATACATGAAAACAAGACTAAACTAGGAAAAACCAGAACAGGACAGAAAGCAGAACATGTACACAAGACATGAGGAAAACAAGAACATAACATGGGCATGACTAGACAGGACTGTACATGGACTGGGATTACAAAATAAAACAAGACAAGAGATACAAGGTAAAACAAGAGGAGACATAACTAAGCACTATATATGAAAAGTATGGGGATTTAGTTACATTATATGATCATACATTGCACAAGCCTGCCAACAACGCCAATGTACCCCATATCTGGCAGGTCCTACACTGCCTAATGTATGCTAAAACAACCATACTAAACCACAATATAGCACTTACCTGCAAGAAAGGGCAGAGACTTGAAACACTGCTGCAGATCCAGGCTGAAACAAAAGGAAAGTGGAAAACAAACGGGTATGGCAACATAAAACAAACATTTAAGTGAATCAAAGAGACTGGGAAATCCAGGGATGGATTATAGGAATAAACCCAGAAATCCCAGTAATAAAGAAAACCAGACAGACTAGAAAACCAGAAAAACCCAAGAAAAACTAAGCAGCGATAGTAAAAAGAGTACTGGATACCAGAAGCCATTGCCAGAATGATCTGCAGCTAAGGACATGATGTGACAGTCAGTGAAGTGAGTTGCAAAGTCTGAGGTGGTCAAGTTAGTAGGTGGAGGAGGAACAATAGGTCAAAAAAGAGAGTTAAATGTGTGAAATAGTCGATTGGGTTCGCGGGAGAGTGTGGTTATGAGGGTATTGAAGTAATTTAGTTTTGCAGAGAAAAGAGCCAAGCTGTATGAGCTCCGCATAAATTTATAGTGGAGAAAGTCATACGGTAGTAGTGGGATAAATATGCTGCATTTAATTCCAAGTCAATTTCCTTCTATTTAAGTTTTTGTAAATCCCAGACGATATCTTTAGGTTCCGATGAGGCTTGTAAATCGGCATCAGTTTGTGGCCATAATATAGCTGCTGCTTGTTCCTCCGTAAAGTGTAGGTTTTCTGCGTGCCCCAGATAGGTCCCAGCCTTTGTGAGGAAGTCCTCCATATTTTACCCCTATATTAGGATCACCCTCACACATATACTATGTATCTTCCCTGTCGAGGGCAGCGGGAGGATCCAGCCAGTTGATCTTCGGGTGGTTGTGATCGGTGCATGGAGGCGAAACCTCTTGAGGCTCTCGACCCAGGAGGGTAAGTGACAGGATGAGTGAGCTGTTGGAGTTAGGATTTGCTCAGAGGGGTCCCACTCCTTTTAAGCAAAATGGTGTTCCAATCGGTCTGCTTGTGGCTGAACCCAGGGCCGGCGCTACCTGTAAGGCGGACTAGGCAGCCGCCTAGGGCGCCCCTTGGGAGGGGGCGCCGCCAGGAGCGCCGGCCCCGCTCATGCTGCAGCCGCCCGAGCGCTCTGTAAAGAGCCTCAGGCGGCTGCAGCTTTGCCCGGGCGGTGCGTCCATGAGGGCGGACCGCACCGCACGGGCGCAACCTGAGGAGAGGCTGACAGGAGGAAAACGCACAGCGCTCCCTCCTGTCAGCCCCCTCACTGCAGCGTGGCCGAGCCCTGTATGGCATGGTCCGACCGGTACAGAAAGCAGCTGTCTCCTGTACCCGGCCGGACTAACAGGAAGTGAACACTGAGTGTTCACTTCCTGTTAGTCCGGCCGGGTACAGGAAACAACAGCTCCCTGTACCGGTCGGACTATACTGGGCTCGGCCACACTACCACACAGGTAGGGGAGGGAGGGGGAAGAAAGAGGGAGGAAGGGGGGAGAAGAAAGAAACAGAGAGGGAGGGAGGGGGAGAAGAAAGAAACAGAGAGGGAGGGAGGGGAGAAGAAAGAAACAGAGGGAGGGGGAGAAGAAAAAAAAGAGGGAGGGGGGAGAAGAAAAACAGAGAGGGAGGGGGGAGAAGAAAGAAACAGGGAGGGAGGGGGAGAAAGAAACAGGGAGGGAGGGAGGGGAGAAACAGGGAGAGCAGGGAGGAGAAGAAACAGAGGGAGAGAGGGGAGAAGAAACAGGAGAGCAGGGGAAGAGAAAGAGAGAAACAGAGGAGGGAAAAAGAAAAACAGGGGAGGGAGGAGGGAAAAAAACAGGAGGGAGAGGGGAAGAAAAGAGGGAGTAGGGGAGAAAAACAAGGGAGGGAGAGAAGAAACCGAGGGAAGGAGGGAGGGGGAGAAGCGGAGGGAGGGAAAAAGCTAGGAGGAGGGAAGGAGGGAGAAAGAAACAGGGAGGGAGGGAGGGGGGGGAGAAGGTTTCTTTCTCCCCCCTCCCTCCCTCCGTTTCTTTCTCCCCCCTCCCTGAAGGAAACAGGGAGGGAGGGGGAGAGGGAAACAGGGAAGGAGGGGGAAGAAAGAAACAGGGAGGGGGAAGAAAGAAACAGGGAGGGGAGGGGAGGGGGGAAGAAAGAAACTGACAGGGGAGGGGGGAGAAAGAAACTAACAGGGAGGGGAATTGACGGGGAGAGAGAAATTGACAGGGGAGGGAGGGGGAATGAGAGTAACAAGGGAGGGGGGGGGAGAAGAGAGTGACAAGGGAGGGGGGAGAGATTGACATCCATCACACACACACACACAATGCACCCCTTACACACAAAGACAACGAACCCCTTGCACACAGAAAAACACACAATGCATTACACACACAATGCATTACACACACACACGCAATGCAACCCTTACACACAATGCATCCCTTGCACACACAGAAACACACAATGCATTCCTTACACACACTCAATGCACCCCTTACAGACTCACACACTTCATCCCTTACATACACAGAAACACACCTTGCAGCCCTTACACATACAAACACAGATTCACAAAATGCATTCCTTACACACAAATCAGGACATTCCCTACACACTCCATCCCCTGTGAACAAACTCATTGGTGGAAAATGAAGGTGGACCCTGGGACCCAGACCTTGAGCTGTGTAAAGGGCCCCAAAAAATGGAGCTGCTTCTCGTTCTCCCAGAACATTGATTTGTGTGACCACAGTTACAAACAGCCTCCAGAGATCCTGTTATACACCAGACCAGTGGAGCCAGACTGCAGCTAGAGCCCATCATCATCCTCATCTGCTTGTAAGTAGGTAATCTAGTATATTATTCGTGGCACTAATCTCTAATTTACCTCACATTAAAGAAACACTATAGTCCCCAGAACCACTGCACCTTAATGTAGTGGTCCTGGTGTCTATAGCCTGTCCCTGCAGGCCTTTTAATGTAAACACAGCGGCACTGCAGCACTAGCGTTAGTTAACATGGCAGGTCATATGGGTGGGGCATTGCGATGTCACGGGGGGGAGGAGGGGGGCGTCAAACTTTACTTTTGCCTAGGGCGGCAAAAATCCTTGCACCGGCCCTGGCTGAACCTCTGGGGTTTTCTGACGTTCCCTTAGCTTTTCCAAGAAGCCCTGGAAGATTGCATCCAGATGTTTTAGGACAGGCTCCCTAGATCTTTGAGTGAGTGGCTGGGATGGACCTAGGCCCCTCAAGGCTGTGTGAGTTGTATACGCCACCTTGAGGAAGCAGTAAAATCAAGGTGCAGCTTGAAGTAAGAGGTAAGTGCAGCAGGTTTAACTAATCAGCTCCAGTGGGGACTGGGATAACCCCCACTGGATTCGACCGCAGCCCTGTCAGTGAAGTCCCTCCAAGGAGTCCGGACGCAACTCCCGGTCGGGCCCACACCAGGCAGTACTTCAAGCAAGTTGGATTTGCGTCCACCCAGCAGCCCATGTGCACGGGTAGTATTCCTGGTAGTGATACGGATATAAAGTAATCCAAAGTAATCTGCTCAGAGAAGCAATCAGATCAGACCAGGCAGTTTTTGATTCAAAGATTACTTACTTCTTTTATTGTGAAAGCTTTCAGATTATATAATACTTTGTAAAAACAGCTTTGTGACTTGTGTGACAAAAACACTTTACCATAAAAGGAATTTAAAGAACTAAGCATATTTCAATGGTTTTATACATATAAAAAACATTAGGACATAAGTTACAAGTTTTTATACTTACTTGTCAGAGACTGAAACTAGACTAAAGTTCAAAGCATAACATAAAAACAGACTGGACATCCGGTCATCTTAGTAGCTTGAGCCTGGGGTCAAGATGCCTTCCATTACAATTCCCCTCTTTTTGACCCCAAGGCTCACACAGGTGTCTGAGGTATGTCCAGGTATGCTAATCAAAATCTGTGGGTCTTTTATTTATGCCTTCACCACGGTTCCCTCAGACAGGGCGTGCCAGGGGTCACAGGAGGAATGTTCCTTCATCAGTTACACAGCGCTGTAGGTATCAAAGGTTGAGGAAGGTGGCATATAAATTAAGGTACGATCAACATGAGGTTTTGATTTGCACAAGGATGATAGAAGACAGGAGAAAAACTTAAATGTCAGAAAAAATCATCAGGACAAATACTGCGATAAGTAAGAAATACAATATTTTCTTAATTAACGTACTGAGCCATTTACCAAGACCAAAGGTCCAATCCCAATGCCCAAAGAACCCTGTATCTTGTTTTATTTCCTTCACTAGATCGTGCAGATTCTGTATATACTCATGGATCTTAGTCCCATGAATCGAAAGATTAAAGCAACACATGCCCTTTACTGCCTCACACCCTAAATCATGTTTCATTAACAAATAGTCAATAGCTGCCCTATTTTCAAGGTTCGCTTACTTATTAACCTGGGTATGCATTAGAAGTTCCTCCAGGGCCTGGGATGTCGCATTTAAACAGGCTAGGACATTAATTTCTTGGGTATTATAAGTGCTAAGCCTGGGACTCCTAACATAGAGTATGCAAGGGCAGAGTATTCAGATTTAGATAAGAGAGTGATTTCAAGGTTACAATCTGAAGTAAGGGTGTTTTTGACATCTCTCCTTTCTTTCTGTGGTTTGTGTAGCTGGGTGGTTTCAGAGATCAGGTCAGATTTGGAAAACATGGTCATGGTTAGGTGTGAAATTGCACAGGGACCTCCTGTAATGTTACCTGTAATGTTACCTGGGACATAAGCATAAGTAACATTTCCACAGGAGAAAATCCATCCTTTAGTGAGATAGGCATGGTGGTGGTAACTCATAACTTGGTAAGTTTTGGTACATTTTCTAGTGGTGCACAATTTGTGATATTTTTCCACCATGTGGGGCAAAACAGGGATTCAGTATTAGGGTCTCTTGAACAATTACATAAAAAAGACCAACATAGTTCAGCGGCTGTCACATTAATTGTCTTCAGGGCTAGGGGTGTAACCGCAGGTAGTTCCCTTATTTACCACTATAATGTCTTAAAGCATAGAACTTAGCAGGGCTAACCATACAGATACCTTAGCCATAATTTTATATAGTTAGTAAGAGATCCTCTATTTAACATATATAAATAATTGAGAATACAACATAAAATAAGGATTGTCTTGGAAGCAATAGTTTTGTCTTTTTGGATATTTATTATATAAAAATATAAATATAAAATCCATTATAGCAGAGTTTATAAGATTAAATTAAATGCTTGCAAATATCATTAATAGGTTAACATACCCTTCTGAACATGTGATCATGTCAGCCTATCTGTCATTTTAAGATGGAGCAGCGTCTGTCTCCAAGTCTCTCCTCTGTGTCTTAACATTTAAAAGTACACTTATTTATACCTTAGGTGTCATTTTAGAGATACCGTAGTTCATATATGAAAAAGTAACACTTCGTTTACTTTATTCATTTTAGGACCTCCCTTAACTTGGCAAACATACAAGGCCATAACTAAAGGGTGCATACATCATGGAAATTTTCCTGACTTAGTTAAAGATGGCATCGTAAAGTCTGAATAGCTTATCTGTTGTTTATATTAAGTCGTAAGTGCACAGTCGTGGGAGATTCCCGGATTTGGGGAAGTTCCATTAACTTGGGGTTACAAACAGTATATTGTGTACTGAAAGAGTCGTAGCATAGCCTTGAAGCTTGCTTATGCATAATCGTTATTGTAATTCGTCTGGGACAAAATGGCGCAAACATATTATGCACTGAGGTTATTGCTTAAATAAACATCTATGAAAAACAATATGTTCCATTTCTAACACCTCGTCAATTTGCAATATCTCTTAAAGACAAAGTACACAGTTTAATAAATACATCATTTAATTCTAAAACTTGTAATATTTGCATTTGCCCATAACACCCTCTCCATTAAACTGTGGGCATTGTAGACCATTTCTTCCTTAAATTAGTAAACCAAAGTTCTCCAACAGTCTATGTTTTTTTTTTTTTTTTTTGCTCCCAGCATCTTTGATCATTGTTGATCATTGTTGTAACAGTAAAATATCCGTAGTGTGATCTTTGTCTGTAAAGGTGGTTGAAATGAGCAAAGCTTTTGCCTGGGAAAGAATTGAAAAGAACACCAAATTCCAGAGTAAGATATTTATGGATGGATCCAGATGCAGATTGTAATCCAAAGTTAAAAGTAGTAATTGTATTTGTAATCCAAAGTCTTTAAAGACCTGTAGAAGTTTACATTCCTTAGATACATTGCTGGAGGTTGTGTTTGTAGAATACCCGGGTATTTGTTGTAGAGTATAGGTTGTAGAGTCCAGCTTTCCAAATATTTGGCTAGAATTGGTTGCAGATATTGAATCAGCATCATCTGTTATCACCATGGTGATGGTGTTGGTATTTGTCTTTGCTTTTTTATTTTGTTTTTTCCATGAAACATTTTTACACCATTTATGATATGTATGGATTGGATACTCTCCGATATTCTTTTACGGAATAAATTTATTGACAGCATTTCCAAGACATTGTCTTAAGTGACATGGATCCTGTTATAGTAAATGTTATGTTGATACAGCAATCAAAGTGGATTCTCAAAAACGCCTCTTTTTGCTGTATTGGAATCTTTGTAACATCTCAGTGATAGACATCTCAATGACATTAGGTGCTGTTGTGCTAAAAATGTTAACAGGTTAAATCTGTGGAAAAATCTTGACATTTGTTATACTTTGTATAATAATGATAGATGAAATAGTAACATAGTTAATCTTTCTAGTGTTTTGTTTTAGAGATAAACACACTTGTATATGATTTAGAGATATAAGGATAATTTGAAGCAGCAAAGTACTTACCACCTTTGTTCACAATGGTATGTAAAATTACATTCTCTTTAAATGTTAAAAATACTCTTTTATTCAAAATCTGTCAATCTATTTAGAATAGTTGCTAATTGGAAATATGACATTGTTCTTCTTTTTTTGTCCTGTTAGGAAAAAAAAACTTATTCCCTAAGTTACAATTAGTAAACATAATAACTACAGTT